GTTCCAATCGCTCTTTGCAAGGTGCGAACACCAGACATTAACGGCGAGTCGCCATGGCGTGCGGAGGAAGCTCTGACTCATTCAAATTTTGTCAGCAGTGTGTCATGGTACAGAAATCAGTGGTGTGCAGCACCTTGACAGGACAACTTGGGGGTATTCCAGGGCAGGATTCCGCAGGGCACTGGCTCTCCTGATGAAGGCGGCGGCACGAGGCGCCATCTGGGAGAAGTTCTCCAAGTACAATGTTCAGATGTCTGTTCATGCATCATGCAACATGTAGTCAGGGGTTGGTCTGTGACGGAAAACCAATGCGTGCTCGGCTTAGTTTTGGTTCTCCTGTCCCGCTGAGACTTGGGTCCCTACAGAGAGCAAGTTTTGGCTCAGATATATATGCTTCGCCAAAATGCGGTGATCTACGCCGGCAGCTCCTTGTACATAAGGGACAGAGCCTTGTTTTCCGTGATGAGATTGCACATGCTAAGCGGAAAAGCATTTCCGCGAGGTCACGGCAAACAACCCAGACACAGCTTTGCAGCGGATGGACCCCGCCAACCGTTGGCAGGTTCGTATCCTTGAGCACGCAAGGCACAGTAACTCTTCTTATCTGAACAGGTGAGTATGACCAGCAAAGGCTACCACCAATATGAGGTCACCTTTCCTCCAGCGGCTTGGCGGCCACCGTGCTGTGTCTTCTCAATGCCCTCATTCTTTGGCCTGTCTAGGTGATTTTCAACACGGTCATGACAAACTTCAGCTCAAACACGGTTGCAGCCTTGAATCGGTTCAAATGCGCCTGCAACTACAACCAAATAAATGACACGCTCTACTCAGGCCGTGCTCGGAAAGATCATGCAACCCCTTATCGTGCCATCGAACTGGATGTACTCTGCATGGAGCTCAGATTGGCCACTTCAGAAGTGCTTCCAATTCATGACTTGAAGTTTGATTCCGAGGAGGGAGGAGTTGTAATGTCGCAGGGTTACCTGAACATTTTCTTCATGTCAGAGCAGGCCTTTTTGCTAGTCTGCAGCTGCCGCTGCTGCCGCAGCTGCGGCTACTTGGTCTGCTTTTTGTAATGCAAAGTCTCGGCAGGGCACAGGCGTGGAAGCGTCCGTGCACGTGGAGGCGCAATACCCTAGACTAGACCTGGACTTCAGTCGATCGGTTTTTGGATTCATGGAGTGAAGCGCAGGCGCCAGCGGGCTTCTCCTTCTCGCCGAACCCGTGCCAAGTTCAGGATTTGGAGGTGGACCATGCGCGAAGGACGGGTGGCGGTTCCTACATGCACCGTGGTGCGGCAGGACTGGTATTATGCCACCCCGGGGCAGATGGGAGGGCCGACGCGCCGGCTGCCAGGCAAGACCGCTACTCTTTCGATTCATGTTTGCAAATTTGCAGTTCCAGGTCTTGTGTCATGTGAACACCGGATGTACCCCTACAACCATGCAGCGATCAAGCTGACGGGCGCGATACTGTCAGGATCCTGGATTTGGAGTGCACAGATCTGCTGTTAGCATCGCCAGAAGCAAATAAATGACAGGTCAAATGCCAACTATGCCTTTGGGCTTTGGGTCTCGAACGCTGAGGCCGATCCAGTAACTGCCTGAAGTGGGGAGCATGTGAGTTGTCCCAAGTTGATGTGTGGTTATTATCCTTAGTTGCGATTGAGTTCTGACCCATGTATATGAGCTACCATGAGAGCTTGCATACGCCGCAGTCGTAGCATATTGGCTGCGATTGGTTTGCTTGCCCTCCAGATGTATGCGGATTCCCAGAGAACTGGCTGGAGGACAGCTTCTTGTTTGGATGATGGCTCACTCAAACCGTGTTGAATAAACAGTACTTGGGCTATAGGGCAGACTCGTCTCAAGGGGAATCTTTGTTTTATGCGAATTCCTGCTGCCAGGATCTATACTTTGGACATGAATGATTTCAAAGTGGTTTCCACCTTGGTTTTCACCGGTATCGAAACTGACTGTACGAGCTGAAGCGAGCTGAAGGATGGCACGCCAGTTCCGATTCCAGCCTTGGCACATATGGCGACGAGCTTGACAATGCCAGACACGCAAAGAAGCTTTGGCCTCTACCGAGCCACTTTTCAGCAAGGAACAGGCTAAGCTAAGCAGATGTGGTGTTTAGCAATTGCGCTCCTCCAGCCCAGGCAAACATCAACACGCAGACAACCTTGAATGTGCAGGCGGCTTGCAGAAGAGAATTCTTGGTCAACTCTGTGCACGCGCACGCTGATCTTCTAATTCCTTTTCATGCATGCTCTAGAGAGCTGTCCAGACACCTTGAAGGTGTCAGTACAAAGCGCCATCCCATTTACGATGCCCGGGGCCAAGAGTGAAACATGTTCTTGCGGACAAATCTCATCATTCTTCACATAAGGGAGATTTTGTCCGTCTGCTGGCGACAGGGCTGAAGCAAGTATGGCTGAAGGTCCCTCACGCGAACATGGGTGACTGTTCTTCCGCTGCGGGCCTGCAGCCCAGCAATCAGTTTTTCATCCTGCGACTGCCTCTTCAGCGCACTGCAACTTGTCGCGAGGTAATCGAGCAGATCACATCTACTCTGCGAGCCAGAACCCCATCAGAGCCCCATGAAACTCTGTGTGGCACTTGAGGGCACTTGAGCTGCAAGGTGGCCGCACCCATGGGGTCGCTTGCTTAGCCTGATGACTTGCTGCTGTAACTGTCAATCCGCCCAGGAAGGGTCCAAGAACATGGTCAGCAGGTACAACTGGGACTTTACCAATGCAGAATTCCGCCACTTGGCTCCGTTTCCAAACACGTCTGCCGCTCAGAAACATTGAGATGCAGTGTGCCCACAGCTTATGCGGTATGTCTTCCAACCTTAACGAGGACAGAGAGCTTGTGGCTGATGGGCACAACTGGCACCTTGCCAGGCAGCAGGGGCATGAGACTGGGAATGGTAGGCATCCTCAGACTGTCTGAAGGTGGCTATCCACAGCGAGATGGGAATGTTCTCTTGTGGAGCCAGGCGCCGTTGCATTTCTCCACTGAGCAGATCGGCTGCCTGTTCATTGTTGGCAGGCTAGGATGTATTGGCCAAATGAGACGTACGGGTCACCTTGGCCAGATTTCGTTTGATGCTTTGATGGTGGTGCTGGTATGGCAGACCCCCTATGCAGGGTATATGATGGTGCATGCGTATGCCAGGTTTCAGACGTACATCAGAGTGCCAGATCGGTCCGCAGCACAGGGGTACAAGTGCATGCATGGTGCAAATCTCGAATAGTGAAGTTGAGTGAAACCAGCTTGACGCTTGACATGGCCTGACTGAGGACTCCAACAACTGCTCCCAACTGGTTCATCTTCGAGTTCGGATATGTCAGATCCTGTGATTTGCTTGTTAAAGTCAGGTTTGCCAATAGATAATTAGCAAATGTGCTTTGATGGAAGGGCAAAGGAAATGGGTTTCAGAAAGTCATTGAGTCTGGTAGAGAGATGCACTTAGTTGAGTGCTGCTCAGCCTTTAAGGGTTTGGTCCCTTTTCGGCAGGTCTTCCAAGGCCTCATGCCTGCTAGTTAACTGTGTGGCATGTTTGGTGGCGGGCCTGCTGTCTCGTCTGGAGCATCTCAAAGCGACCGTACTAGATACGTGCTGCAGGCAAAAGATTAGGAGCGGAATTCCCTGTAATAGGGATTTGTCTTCCTATTTGTGGTAACTACCATGCATCACAAATTCTATGCCCCATTCACGTGTCCGCTTGCTGTCAATGCTTCCAATCAAGTTTCTTCGGTGTGCAGCTCAGATGGTCCGCGCAGAGTTTAAGTCTGAAGCCAGGGCAACTCGATCCACCCTCCTCATTAAAGGAACCATTTCCCGTCAATGATCTACGAGCAACCTCGTCTTTGTATAACAAGAGTTTGAAGATAAGACACAAGCACAGGTAAGACATTTGTCATTCGGCAGAAAAGAAGCAACCCCTTCCAAACCGCTTTCCGAACACTTAAAGCGATGTCGAAAAGCTTCACACTACATGAAGGAGGCCCCGATAAGATATTGGATAGCGAGACGTTGTATAGCCTACAACAACTTCTGTCAGAACGAAAGGCCGAGGGGGTGAGAAACGGCTGGCAGCATCCTTGATTCTCCGTTTCTCAACCCTGGGGCTTCTGGTACGCTTCCCTTGTTCAAACAGCAGAAGGCAAAGCTAGACTGAACGCTTGGAGAGGTTTGGCGGTTTAGGCCTCCATCCACAGCAAACCAGAGCTGTAGCGCCACAAGCACAGACGGGCGAACAAAGTCATCTGAACGATTCTGTGCTCAAGAGTTGCAGCAACAGCTGCATGCACAAGCCAAGCTTTTCTTTCTTATCGTTCTGAACAGCCTCGGCTGCGAGCCCATTGCATTGCACAGTTCCAGACACTGCTTAGCGACAGGCCTTATCATTGACACGGTAAAGATCCAAAGCGGAAGGCTGCAGCCTTTGCAATCACGGAGCACTGGGACGACCACGGGCTCGAACACCTCCTGTGCTGGCTGGACTTTTCAGATCTTTCGTGTTGCGGTGGGGTTTCACGACGATGGTCTTCGCTGCTTGTGCCCGCAGGGCTTCCATGGAGACAAGCTGTGGTTTGGGTGGCAGGGTCGTCCTTTTCTGTATGCGATGAAATTGCTGACAAGGGGCTCCTCACTCGCTGGCCAGGAATTGAGGTTTTTCTGCCGGCTAAGCTGGCTCCACGTGAGCTCCCGCAATCAGCTCTCACTGCGCTCCCACTTGGAGCTCGATCCCACACAGAGCTGCTTCCGATTCAGTCTTGGCCTCTTCTAAATTACCGCTCGCTTCTTCGCAAGATCTTGCGCTGGTGTGTCTCAGCATACACCCATCCCAATAGAAGCAACTTGAATGGCCGATACTTTTCGAAGGCGCCAGGGGGTTGTTTTCCGCTTTGCCCTTTGTGTGCTGGAGTGGCTTTCTATCAAGGTGCCGGGTTCACGCGGGCTGACATTGCAACAGGATGGCAAAGCTTCATGCTCTGCAGCTTCGACCGCGCGTCACCACGGGGCCTTCTTCTGTCAACTCTGCTTGCCAACATGGGAGTCGCCGAAGAGATGGCGCCACATGTAGTGGTGCAGATGAGACCCGCCAGTGTGGAGGAGGAGGAGGTACCTGATGAAGGTAATGTTGGGGACGCTGCACCTGGTCTCAATGTTCGCGGTGAGATGGAGATGGAAATCATAGACAGCTTCTCGACCCTGTGGCGAGGCCCAAGGAGTTCCATGGCCCAAAACATCATCAGCGTGGCGCTACCATGCAGCTTTCGGCTGCGAATAGCTGGCATTTGCCTGGCCGAGCTGGGAATCATGGCTTTTTTCTGTGAACAGGTGAACAAGACTGCCTGCACATCACGAACTCGTGTGGGTCGATATCTAGACGACCAGCCGGCAAGAATGCCGCGCGCACATGTTTTTGGTGCCCACATATCATCGCGTCCGGGAGTGGGTGTGCCGGCATGGCTGCCCATGAAGAGCTTGAAATCACGTCAGAGTGATCCATGCGAGGCATGTCCATACTGCAAATCAAGCGGCTTTCTGCTGGATTCCTCTGTTGTGGGGGTGTTGTCGTGGGAGGCTGAGGAGGCTGCTTTGGCTTATCAACCTCTGGAAGCGGAGCAAGTGTTCCATGGCAATCTTTGGGTCTGCAGTTCCTCGCACTTGTGGGGATGGAGGTGGCGCCGAGCTGGCCTTATTCCGACATCTGAGTGATCCAAGCAGATCGGGGAATTGCAGCCTCTGAACCGTTGCGTACGCAATGCCACCAAAAGAGAAGCAGGTATCGCAGCATGCAAGGGCACTGGCAAAGGTATAGTTCTTGTAGCTTGCACCTGAACTTGAGAGTTTGCGTTGTCCTCCCGCCAAGGATGGCAACTCGCTAGCAACTCGGCATGCTGCAACAGCTGTCAGGAGCTCACGAAGCTGTCCGGCTTTGCCATAGCATCAGCGGTTGGCCACGTACAACTTGCGAAAGGTGCCAGCTCCGGCGGTGAGAGCTCTGACGAATGCTCTCGTAGAGTACAACACGAACGTTGAGGGCAAGGCCATCTACCTGTGGGGAGCTTTCCTTTCCTTTAGGTTGAGTGACGGAGAATGCACCTGCGCGTGACTGGGCAGGTCAATCCCATGACCTTCCAGATTGAGACTATCAGTCAGGCAATCCCCTGTCTTGCCAGTAGCTTCGAGAACGCTTCATTGGCCTGCCTGCACAAAAGGTACCGCAGGGAGGTGGCCTGCTCATCGAGGGACCGCTCGGGTTCGAGTTTCCCAACCCCTGCACGCCACAGGCCGGAACCCGACACTGCCAGAGGCGTCACCCGCATCACGACACACTTGTCAGATGGCTCCTGCTGCCCGTGGCTCCACATATCAAGTGCAGCCTATGGCCATGAAAGTCTTGAGGCAAGCGTGGAATTCAGCTGCATGTGACTGGACTGCTGCCCTGCCCAGTCTGCCGATGGATGTGGCATGCAGCTTCCAGCAGACGGCTGGCCCCGCTGGTCGGAGCGTTATCAGGCCTCTCGCCAAGGGTAAGTTATGCAACATTGCGATTTTGCTGAACCTTCAGGCTGACAGCTGGTGCCTCCGGCATCATGCCAAGCACTTGGCGAAGCGTTGCTCACAAGTCTGTTAAAACTGGACAGAAAAAGCCAGACCAAGCCAGCTTCACAAAACTAAGCTGGAAAGAGCAAAGCAAAACCTGGCAATTTGACGCATATTGGCAGACTGTAGTTGTAAGGCCTGGTCTGTACCGCTTCGAGTTGCTCGGGAAGAACCCTGCCCAAGTCTCCTGCCAGCATCGAAGGACATGCTCATGCTATGGATTTTGACCTAGTTATGCTGCCAGGCTGTTACCAATCCAGTGGACAACACCAAGTGGCTTTTCTGCAAGCAAGCTGTGCCGGCAAACTCAGAGTCTATCAATCATTCCCTGAGGCCGTGCATGCGCCAGTTCTGCTGGGACTTCCACTCACTGCAGGTCCGGTTGATACTTGTACTCGTAGGGGTTGTGCAGCTGGTTCTGCGCACTTGATGACAAACTGCTGCAGTTTCACAGGTCATCGGCTTTGTGAATACCAAGCTGGACTCCAGCATAAGCGTGCCATCGTTTGACATCAACCTGAAGATGGTTGAGGTGCGATTTGTGTGTAGCTTTCTGCCTTTGCTGTGACCGTGTCTTCTATGAGGCCCTCTTGCCGACATTGACCAGGGAGCAACAGGCCAAGCCGCAAAAGACGTCTGCCATGCATTGACATGTCTTGCTTCGGCTCGATGTCAGGCTGCAACTGGTCGAGATGTTCGCGTCTGAGAGGGAGGCTTTGGAAACTGTTTCCGTCAGCATTGCCTTAGTGCCTGAGGACCGACCACTGAGCCGAAATCCCTTGGTCTTTGCGTGGCTGCCTGAAACTCTCCGCATATTCCGTCGCGCTCAAGCTATGAAAATCCATGCGTGTCAAGTCAAGCGCGCTTGCTGAGGTTCAAGTTAGGGACCGCCGCCATCTTCTCTGGAACTATGCTTATCAGGAACGGTGGATAGCTTGTGTGGGGCATTGCTTGGAGCAAGCGGATAGTTCTTGCAAGGGGGCCCTTGGGCACCATCTTCCGGGAAGACTGCAGCGAGGATGTGGAAGTCCGCCCCACAGAGGCCCCAGCATGTCTACTTAGGAGTGTTCTGCACCTTGTGGAGCATGTGCAACCAGGTTGTTCTGTCAACAGGTGTTTGGAACTGGGCAGGTGTTGCCGGCCGAGTGCACCTTGCACTTCACTTTCCATGCGTCCTCTCCATGCCAAGCCAAAGCAAGGTACGCTGCATGGCCGCAGGGTGTCGCAGTGGTCAGCTGCCGAGGTGAAGGGCCAGACGCCAGGACTCGCTGCTTTCGCATTGACGGATAATCATGGCAGTGCACGCCTTTTGCCGTGACCTGCAGGATAATCATAGACCCTGGAGTCACGGACGGCGCGCCGCGCAATCACTTTGCAACACTTTCTGCTGCTGCTGTAGCTGAACTGAATGCATTAGTGCTTGATCGGAAGGCTTGCTCTTCGAAGTCTTCTACCCTATCAGAGTCGCTGTTTTGCACAATCCAGTTGTGCAGCCCACAGACAACAGGCGGCTGCTGGGGGCTTTTCTTGTCCTATGCATAGTGGGTTGTGACTGATAGCATGGCTTCCATCGATGGAGGTGGACGCTGGATTTCAATGGGGAGTCCTCTGACCCCTTTGACGGTTACATGCTGTGGACCTTTACAAGGACAATCGAGCTGACATTGCTTTTGCTTGAGTTGCGTTGGGCTTGAAAAGCAAAGGACCTCATTACTTACAGCAACAATGGGCCGCTCCACGACAGTGACGGGAGATCCGTTCTTGAAGAATCCGGCAAGACACCAAGTGGCCGTGCCGTTCCGGCTCGAATAGACCAGACTTGGAGCAAATCTTGGCTCTGTTCGAGCAGGTAACCTTCACATTCCGCCCAAAGAACACGGTCAGAGGTGCTACCATATTCTGATGCATTTGTGGGCGCTTTCTGTGTGTTCGGGCCAGGTGCCGGCATGATCATTCAGGTGTGTCCTGACGTGCTTCAACATTGCATTTATGCATTAGTGCATCCGAAAATTAGCGGTCCCTCTATATTGAGGCCTCGCGATGTATGGGGGAATATATGGAAATCCCTATCCAAGTGCCCGGGAGATGGCTGCCCTGTAGAAGGCAGATTCTGGCTTCTCAAATCTGGTTTCCCTGCGCGGCTCAAGTCATCATGCATTCAGGGAACAAGCAAAAGCAGCCCTGGATACCAAATGGATTGGGCAGTGATGCAGGCAAGGAGCCAGGCTGAGCTTGCTGGCCACTCCTGAACAACAAATGTGGACAGCTACCTACCTCCTCAGCAACTGACGCTGCAATATTTAGTGAGCTTGTGAGCTTCGCACGTAGATCTGTCGTACCCATGCCTCAGTGTACAGTCGCGCCTGGAGCTCGGAAGAAATCATGTTGAGTACTGCATTGTTTGTGATTACTGTTGATACTAGAAATCCTGCATAACCTCATTATGCTATGGCTATAGCACCATAATCCCGAAGGTATAACGTACTCAGGGCCATGCAGGATTTTTCGTATCCACTGTTCTGACCAGCTGTAAGATGTCATAATGTGTTTATGAGGCCGACTCTACATCCAGGCTCCTTGCACGTAGGCCCATCTATCCCGCGGGCCACTGAGTGCCAAAGCTCTGACCTATCTTAGATCGAACCGGTAGTTGCAGGGTCAAGGATGCCAGCGTGCCAGGATTTGCGTGTTGAAGCGTTCAGGTGTAGAGATGCAGAAGAGTTCTGGCTCTGGCTGTTCCTTGGGCTCAAAGGGTAGGGTCAGAGCTTGGGAAACCCTCCAGCTCGATCCTCATCCCAGTCCATTCCGAACTTGGGAGCCACACGCTTAAAGTGGAGATCTGGGAAAATGCTTTCTGCACACACCCGCATACTTGCTTGAGGTTGACTCTGCTGCTACAATGCGCAGTCTTTTGTGGACATGGTTGGCCGCAGGCCAGGATGCACAGCTGGTTCATGCAGGCAAGGGATCAGTTGCGCCTAAAGATTCGCAGCTGCAAAAATTCCCATCATGGATAATCGCAAGACAGCTACAGCTTCACACAACCACAAAGAGGTGCCACAAACGAAAGGCAGCAACCGGAAGACCTGAGCAACTAAAGACTCATAGTGCTGATTGTGCAGCTTCCCTGCTTGTCGTGTTGATTCCGAGCCCCCTTCCATGCTAGTTTGTAATGCCACTCACGTGCTTGCTGGTGCTTGTTGTGTGCAAGTTGTCCCCGAAGGTTTCCTGCTGCAACCACTGGCGCTAAACCTGAATTGCGTCACTTCAGGCCTGAGGTACGAGCTCGTAAGGGCTTTTTAAGTTCCTTGAGCCATGGATTTCCGAACGTGTGATCTGCTGCCAGCACCAACCGTTTTTTCAACAGCCAGTGCTGCTAAGTGTGAAAGCATCATGAAGCTACCTGGCCGGAAGGAAGCGCCATGAGTGAGGACGTGGTTGAGCAATGCGAGGGTGACCTTCTAGAAGCCCAGGAGGCTTGGAACCTTCTTGCTCGTTGTTCTTGCTGTTCCTAGTCAAAGCCTAGAGCTTAGGAACTGCATGGCGGAAGCTGTTTTGGTCTACATATTTAAGATCAGCAGGTCTCGCTGCTACAGATGGACCTGCAAGGGTCTGTTCAGCTGGAAGAAGCAGATGATGGCGACAGTGATGGTGACGGTGACGGTGATGGCGACGCCTTCAGCAACAATGATGCCTCAGGTACTTTGGCATGGCAAGCGTGTAGCAAATTACCGCCAAGTGAGTGACTTGGGGCCCGCCTCAGATGCGGTGGACATTTGCTGTCACTCTATCACGCGAGAAAGTGCTTACAGAACATGCATCCTACAAGGAATGTATAAACGACCAACTCTGTACAGCCAAGGTGCACTGCTTAGACACAACGGGTCGCTGGAGAATGTTGGATTTGTTCAGGCCTGTGCTAGGGTTCAGGGTTCAGGGGTACATAACCTGAATAATGGACTACAATGGAGAATCAAATGGAAAAGACAGTGGAACATCAATGGAAACTGGGATTATTGCTGACTTCCAGATGAACCTTTGGGATTGTCAGGAGGCTGCGAACCGCACGTCCGTGGCGCTGCAAAGTCTGGACGTCCTGGGACATTTGG